GGGCCTGCCCTCTGGGAGCAGGTGACAGGAGCCTGTGACTAGGGTGGGGCCCAGCTGAGCTGTAAGTGCTGCGGTGGCAGGATGGGAGTCTCCGGAGCTGCTCTGACCCTGCTCAGAGGGCGGTTCCTGGGAGCCATGGCGCAGCCTCCCAAGGGGCCCTTTCACACAGTGCCCACCTTGGCCTATCTGAGGCATTCCAGCTGGTTCCTCACGGCTACTCCTGGCCTCCTCCACCTACAGCTCCAGAGTGCAGACCTTGAGCCCATTTAGGCTCAGAGCTGGATGTGTCATGTGGGCAAGCTCCTTAATCGGCCCTGGTTTGCTCTCAGCCAAGCCCTGCCTCACAAGGTCACAGGTATTAAAACAGCTGCTGTGTGCTAAGTGCTAAGAGTGTCAAGCAGGGCCTGACATCCAGTAGATGCATGGGAAAACGCCCATCCCCTCCCCCCTCACGGCTGTTGTCACCGCTGCTGATGGCAGTGGCTGCTGGCCGCCCTGCAGCGCCGGCCTCCTCCTTGGTGCGGTGGAAGGATGGGTGGTGGGTCCAGCCGTCTCACCACTCGCCTGGCCTGCACACAGGAGCACTCTCCAGATTGACGTCCTGGGTACCTTTGGGAGCCCTGGAGGGACGGACGGTAGCAGAACAACCACTTCCCGTCCCTGGGAGGAATGTGGCACAGGTGGGCCCTGGGGCCCCCAGCTGAGCTCTTACACCTGAGAGGCTGGGGCTCCAAGGCCTTTGGCAGCTGTCTGCCTTGGCTTGATGGGGGACTCCTCCTGCCCAGGTGACGGGGTTTGACAGTGTGGATGATGAGTCCAAGCACAGCGACCACATGTTCTCGGACAAGAGCCCCAGCCCAGACATCTGGACCAGTGAGCAGAACCCGCCCTACAGCTACTACCTGTACTACATGTACGCCAACATCATGGTGCTCAACAACCTTCGCAGGTGGGTGAGCCCAGCCCGCACACACCTCAACCCAGGGGATGCTCCTGAGCCCAACGCATAGGGCACGTGTCCACAAGGCCGCATCCACACGAAGGCATGCATGTGGCAACACATGATCACAAGTACAAGGCAGCCACACCCCACGCCTGTGCATACACGTGGTCACACACACTCATCAACACCTTACGTGTATGCATGCCCATCCCTGATATGATAGACACAGGACCTGCCAACACACACGTACACTTACCACCAAACCAGTGATGTCCACATGTGCATCTGTCCATTGAACAAATCATGGCACCTTCTATGTGAAGGCACCATCCTGGGCACTGGACACAAGAGGGAACCAAGCAGATTATATCCACGCCCTCGTGGAGCTTATATCCAGTGGTCTTGCACACACAGGCTCTTCCCAGTGCACACATGCAGATGCGGCTCACATAGCAGGACGCTGAGCCGGTCCCCTCCCTGCAGGTCTAGCATCCAGCCGCCCCTGCTGGGCTGTGGGGCCTCAGAGCTCGACCTCAGCCAGGGCTAGTTGTGGATGCAGAGGTTTTGAGTGGGACCACGATGGAAGGAAGATGGCCTAGGGTTGGAGTGGGGCAGTCCAGGGCCGAGCTTTTTGAGGTGGGGTTCTAGTTCTAGCTCCACCACTAACCTACTTGGTGGCTTCTAACATCTGACTCCACTTTCAGGGTTTGCTCATTTTCATAACAGAGGCTGGACTTGATGGTTTCTCATGGCCTTTCCTGCTCTGAAGGTCTATGCATCTTTGCCACCAGGTCCTGGGGGAGGTGGGGAATGGGTGGAGGCCCTCTGTGTTCCCCAGAGATGGTATCTCTTGGTTCTGAGGAGCTCTGGGTCTGGACCTCTGCATTTTGGGAGGGGCTGTTCCCAGAGTGCCTTGTGTCAGCTGTGCTGACCCTGCCATGGGTAACTTGTCTCCCCTGGAGTAGGCCCCGAGCTAGGGGTGCAGGCCCCAGGCCCACCCCAGGGGTCCTTCCTGACCACGAGCCTCACTTCTGCAGGGAACGGGGCCTGAGCACATTCCTGTTCCGGCCTCACTGCGGGGAGGCTGGCTCCATCACCCACCTGGTGTCTGCTTTCCTGACAGCTGACAACATTTCCCACGGGCTTCTCCTCAAGAAGGTAAACGGGCCACTCACAGACGCCTGCCTGCAGTGACAGTTCTGCCCGGGGCTCCCCTGGGCTCTTGCCCACCCCCTGGGAGGCTTCAGCCAGTGATGCAGAAAGGCTAGGCCTTTTCCTGGGCTGTACTGTCTGTAGTCTCTTGATTTCATATTTAATTACGAAATAATGTAATCAAACGCATCACAATTTGGATTTTCAAAAAAACGGAGAAATGAAAAAAAAAACCCTTCTTACTATTACTTTAGTAGAAACAGCATTACTAGCTTTTTAGTATTTCGAATTCCCATTTTTTTTCCCAGAGCCTACTTCTATGTTTACTATCATAATGAACACAAATCTTTGGTTCCTTGTCCCTTAACTTTGTGTAACAAGCATTTTTCTGTGCTGCAACATGACATCTGTGCTCCTCATTCTAAGGGCTGCTGGAAGGAGGGCCGCCACCTGGATGGGCTGTGCCTGATTCAGCCGGTCTTGGGTTGTTGCAGAGTCTATCCAACTTTTCATTTATAAATAATGCTGCTGTGGACTGCATCAGTCTTCTCCATATTCTGGATCATGCCCATAGGAACCATGTTTGCTTAGACTCCTCTCCTTCCCTGTTCCTGGGGAGATGTACCCAGGTTTCACGTTTCTGTGTGGGGTGGATGCTACAGCAGAAAACCACTCTAGCCTGGTTGGGTCTGCCCCTTCCCACCTCCAAGGAGCTGCAGTGTTGACAGTTCCAACCTGAATGTTTATGGTCAAAGTGACAAAACAGAAGTGGGGCACCTGCAGGACTGACCTGTTGGGGCCAGTGCCTGGGAGAAGAGCGCTGAGGACATTGGTTGGGGTTGGCCTGGGGCCTTGCAGGTACCCTTCCTGCCCTGGGCTGTCTCTCTGGTCTGGAGCCAAGAGGGAACGCTTCACACAGAGGACAGGAGAGCAGTCCCAGGGAGGGATGGCACGTGATGCAGAAGGGAGGTGAGTGGGCAGGCGGGGGAGGCGGAGGGTGGGGCTGGGGAACTTGGGTTGACTGGGGGCTTGCACAGATACTGCTGGACCCCTGGTGAAGGCGTCTCTCCACCCTTCCTCCCCTCGCTGGCTCTTGTGACCCTGAATATGGCGGTTCTTTTGCAGAGCCCGGTGTTGCAGTATCTCTACTACCTCGCTCAGATTCCCATTGCCATGTCTCCTCTGAGCAACAACAGCCTGTTCCTCGAATATTCCAAAAACCCTCTGAGGGAATTCTTGCACAAGGGACTACATGTCTCTCTCTCCACTGATGACCCCATGCAGTTCCACTACACGAAGGTGAGGACTTCAGGGGCCCCAGCAGGCACCAGTTCAGACCGGTCCTCCCAGGCAGGCACCTGAGCACCCAGCTCAGTTCTGCCTGCGGGGTGGCATTGGTGGCCTAGTGAAGACGACAGGTGAACGCCTGGTGAGGAAAAGCGTTCCTTCCAGGAGCCCTCTTCTGGGTTTCTTGGATCCTTGAGGGCACAATTTCATTTCTTTGCCTTTCTGTTTTCCCCTTCCTTGATACTCACTAGCTCTGTGATTTGGTAGTTACTCGACTCTTGACCTCTTCATGTGTAAAACAGGGATAGAATTGTCTCTACATCCATCTCTACCTTACTGTTAGTATTCATTAAGATAATGAATCAAAGAGTGTAATACAGTGTCTGTGTACAGCATGTATTCCACATGTTAGCTCCCATTTTGTTACAACTAATATTACTATTAGACTTTGGATCTCTGGGAAGGAGAAGAGGAAGAGACAAGTGATGCCAGGCATGTGAACCAGCCACTAGGGCACTGGCACATCTGGCTAGTACTGATTAGATCAGCCACTGATTAGTAAAAATAGAAGTGCCTGGGTCTTCTAGGACAGGCTCCAAGCTTCTGATCCCAGGACCCCTTTATATTCTGAAGAACTGAGACCTTGAGAGCTGTGAATGATGTGCCTGACATCTAATGATACTTAACTGTGTGAAAAAACCTAATGGAAAATTGAAAAATTTTAACTCATTGAAAAATAACATTAATAGACTGTTAAATGTTAACACAAATAGCAATTTTTATGAGAAATAACCATATTTCCCAAAACAATAACAAAACACTGAGAATAGAATTACTTTACATTTTTGCAAATCTCTTTAATGTTTGGTTTAACAGAAGACAGCTGGATTCTCATCTCTGCTTCTGCAGTCAATCTGTTGTGATAAATTTTTTTTCAAAGCATATGAAGAAAATTTTGCCTCAGGAAATACAAAGTTGGAAAAGGAAGGACCTTTCAGAAGGCCTGGGGGACCCTTGGATTCTGGGACCATACTTTCAGAACCACCATTCTAGGATTCAGAGGCAGTGAGGTGGTGAAGAGGTGACGGAAGGGCTTGTGCTCAATGTCAAACATTTGCCATCACAGCTCAAACCCAAATCCTGGGCTTACACGATCTCACTGTTGAACCTTGATCATTTCTCATTCTTATTTAATGTTCCACCTCTGCTCTTAGTGCTTTGCTCAGAGTAACTTTTATTTTGGACAATCTTAAGAAAGTGTGTTAAATACAGAGCAAGCTATATAGAGCAGGCACTAGAAGTGTGCACGACCAGGGAGACGGGCACAGGAGAGCAGGCTGGTGACCCTGGCCACCAGCACTGGGCTTTGAACGTGTGCTGGTCAACAGATAAATGTGTAAGTGTTTTTCGATAAACCTGTCTTTGGTAACTGAGTGCACTCACAAAAAAGATCACCAGAGTTCGTAATTTGAGGAGGAGGATGTTTGATTATCCCAGTGCCAGTCATTAAAGAAAAACAAAATCTGCAATGTTGCCAGCTTTGGAAACATGTGATGCATTGAAATGGATAGTCTCCAATCTAATACATTTACTTTGTGGGACTTTAGGAAGCACTTATGGAAGAATACGCCATTGCGGCTCAAGTGTGGAAGCTGAGCACGTGTGACCTGTGCGAGATCGCCCGGAACAGCGTGCTGCAGAGCGGCCTCTCCCATCAGGTGTGCACTGCCCTGTCCCTCCTGTCCTCTCAACCCGCGTATGACGAATGTCTGCTGCGTGCCAGGCACTCCCCAAGCCTGGGACCTGTTATGAACGGAACAAGCAGGATCTCTGTCACACTGAAAACCGTGTTCTAGGGGAGGATCCTGGGGAAGACTCCTGAATTTTCTTTTTCCGGAACCCTGCTCACATGCCATCTGAGGCCTTCCCCGATCACCCATTCTGCAGTAGCCACACACTTGCTCTCATTCTCCATCCCTTGAATCTGTTTTTCTTCCTAACGTTTACCACTGCTGACACTGCAGTAGGCAGTCATGTTTTTCTGTCTTTCCTTCTAGAATGTAAGTTCAGCACTCTATCCCTAGGACCTAGAATAGACCCTGGCACATAGGAGGCACAGTATTTCTTGAATAGATGAATCGTACCTAGGGATAGGACCCAGACATTGGTAATTTTTTCTTTAACAGCTCCCTAGGTGATTCTGACTTGGAGGCAGGGCTAAGGACCACTGCTCTAGGTCCCCTCCCCAGGCGACGTCACGGGCACAGGAGGAGGGCTGTGGTGGTGCTGCTCTTGTTGAATGCTGATGCAGACAAGGGTTAAGGCTCAAGACTCATTCCGTGGGGACCTGGTTCCTTGGACTGGCTCTCCCCAAACACACCTGTCTGCCCTTGTCAGCTCTCAGGAGGGACTTCCTAGAGTCCTCATGCCTTCCTCTCGCCTTCTTCATCCCCAGCGGCTCTTGGAGCTCGTCTTTCCTTTCTGACCAAGGAAACAGTCAGACATGAAGGGAATGAATGTGGCTGTCAGGGTGACATCCTTGAGGCAGGGAAGCTGGGAGGAATTTTGTAGGAGCCCTGCGGGGAAAGATGTTTTAACAGGGGACCAGCCTGGTTTGGTGTGGCTAATGTCAGAGCTGCCGTGTGGATAGAGAAAGTGAATCTAAGGTATGTTTCATTTGTATTTCTCTTGGTCCACAGGAAAAGCAGAAATTTCTGGGACAAAATTATTACAAAGAAGGACCTGAAGGAAATGATATTCGAAAGACAAATGTTGCTCAGATTCGGATGGCATTCCGATACGAGACCTTGTGCAATGAGCTCAGCTTCCTGTCTGATGCCATGAAATCGGAAGAGATCACAGCCCTAACCACATAGGTCGAGCACTGGATGTGCATTTTAACCTGTTGGTTTAATTTCAAGTCTGCTGTGATTAACAGTGGTCAAGGTACCAAATGAGGACTTTTCCTCCAAGGAGAGGATGCCTCTGAACTTTCAAACTAGTGATTTGGTTGCACTGTTCATTTTAAGGCCTCATATGCCCACTTTTCTTAATTTTTTTGAGTAACAGATGGTGACTCCTCCATGGGGATCTGGGAGCTGGACACTCGTCTGTACTCATTCCTAATTTTCCAAATACTTCTCTTGAAAGTGCTAATGCTCGCATTAGGGCCAGGATCTTACATGGTCCAGTGCCCAGTGACATGAAGTCTGTGTGGTTTTCTGCTGTAGTCCTCTGTAGACCCTGCAGGCTAGTTGTAATTGTTCATTTCAGCCTCTGACAGGCTGGCTGCCTTAAAATCTATTTCAGAGCTCCTTTTCATAAAAGAGCTACTTTGAATTAGAAAACTTCCTTTTTGATAATTTGCATTTTTAATGAATTTTAAAAACTTTTATTTAGCCCTCCTCCCTTTCTATTTAGGAAACTAAGTGTTCACATTGAAACAATCACTCCTGTTCAGTGTCTTGGTTTCCGCATTTGAAAAGTGAGGGTTTGGACTAGGTGAGTGGTTTTTCCCCTCCCGGACCACTTCAGGGCAGGGGTGGGCAGGGGTGGGCAGGGGGAGGGGGGCTCTGGGGCACTGCTTTTACCGCTTCAAGGCGACTCCACTTTCATCATCTGCTTTAAATGGGGACTTCTACGTATTTACATTTGAATTAAAGACTTTGGAAAGCGTAGGACTAGATCTCTGTTCCTTTTGGCTTGAATATTCTATGACTGTAGCCAGATTATCACTTTACCTATGAGGAGTTAGGGCCAGAGAAGTGAAATTTGCTTAAGGTCACACAGTTCTAATAAGCAATAGGACTAGAACTAGGTTTCTCCAATCCTAATCCAGTCCTTCCCACTATTCCATCAGGCCTCACAAATTTAGATTTTGTAATCCCTGCAACCTGGGGCATTTTTCCCCAAAGGTGAAATCCCTCCTTTACCTGATACACAGACTTCTTCAGAAAATACAAGCCATCCCAGGGGCCAGGTAGAAAACATTTTTTTAAGACCACTCTGAATTTAAGCTTTACCAACATATTCTTCATCTGTTACTAGTGCCTGGTACATAGTAGGTGCTCAATAAATGTATATTAAATAACTTGAATGAATTTCCTCCTCTGGCACCTTTTTAAGGATTGTGCTCCTAGTACTCAGCAAGGACTTTCCTTGTCTGTGTAGACTGTGGGAAAATGCAGACTCTGGGAAGCCCTTCTAAATCGTTACAGAGTTAGAAGAACCCCATTTTTGTCTGTGAAAATGCTTACTTGACTTCAGATTTTCTTGTGTTGTTACTTTATAGTGCTTGTCCCCTCTACTGGTCAACTTAGCATTTGGAACAATAAACATAGTCTGTTTACTAGGCAAACATGCTATCTTATAGCTAATTATGAAATTGAATGAAAACTAAGCACTTATCTTAGGCATTCATTATTTTTGAAAAGCTCCCATTTGTATACATTTGCCCTAACATAGCAAGTATCGTACAGTTTTTCATTGTCATCTTACCTGTATCAAGTAATTATTGAATAAAGTCTGTTAGGACTGTGGCACAATTTAATACTATTTTAAGCTGATGCTATTTTAAGGCAAATCTTTAAATTTTTAACTTTAAGATAGGCATCATGAAAAGCTATCAATAATAACTATTAATTTATCTTTTACTAAGACTCAGACATGGATGACACTCAACTAGGAAAACTCAAATTTTGAACTGAAGCTCACTAGACCCAGAAGGGTAAACCTTTGCTCTTTTTCTCTAACTTTTGCTGTTACGGTTCATGAGCAAAGCCACACAAGGTCATTTCCTTTACCCCGCAGATAACATCTGTCTGTTCAGACACACCTGTTGGATTTTCTGTCCTGAAGGCTTTTCAGCCACCTTTTTCTATAGCATTTTGCACTATTACATCATTGTACCTAATTGGCCTATATGGGTGAAGCTCTATTTTCTTTTGTGATCACAATTGGAATCAAAGCCAATAGTATACTAGTCCACATTTCTAAAAGAACAATTTTTGAGGCATGTTATCTCCTTGCTTACTCTAAAAGGCTCAAGTGCACGTTATATATTACTCTAAACTGCACTGCTGAAATGATCAATGTTACAGTTCACTGCCTCATGAAAACAAACCACACACCTCCTAAGCTGATATTCACCAAGGCCTATCTTGGGCCTTTACTTTCCCTTACCTTGGATAAAGCAGAGTTGAAAGCATATCCCTCTGGTTTTCTCTTTCTTGTGTCCGAGTGCTGTGTTGGTGAAATGATATTCATCTTTTTCTGGGCTTGCAGACACAACTGAAGGCGGTATGTTGGTAATAGACCTAAGTATTCTCTACCTAAACAATGACCATTACAAAATAGAACAAGCATAAAACTGACTGTAATAAAAACACTAGACAGACATAGTTCCTTGGAAAATTTTATACCTTCCAATTCTAAAGAAATAGTTGATTAGAAAGATAAGGGATACCAGTGAGATTACAAGCAGCTGTAAGATTATCAAAATATATCTGAGGGGGCTTTTATGTCTTTGATACCAAAATGTGTACTTCTCCATCAGTTAAACAGCTTCTCCTTATAAATGGCTTTCTACTTCTCAGCACTATGATTCTAACCTATGTCTCTACTTACATTCTTTTATCTTAGAAAATGGTAAATATCAAAACCACCATAGGTTGAAGTAACTCATCAATTACTGTCAAATAGGGGTAAAAGACATGAAAACAAATGAAAGTCTGTTACTGTTTGTATCATATTGTCATTGTGTTGCCCATTATAAATCTGGGTGATCAGGTGATTTCCCTAATCTCCAAGTAGCTTTCTTATTCCTAGAGAGACCAAGAAAGCTTGACTTAAGAAAAAAACAGCTAAAAATGCAAATTCTTAAGATTGCATTTAATGAATCCAACTTCTCAATGTTAAAAATCACTGAACCAAAAGATATTTTCAAGCAGTCTTATTAACCAGATATATATGTTAGGTATAAGGAAATTGAGTCTAATTTGAAGTGAATTTTAAAACAGCACAAAACCATCACAACTCTCCAGAGCACAATACAAAATAGTCCTCTAAAGAATATAAACACTTAGTAATATAAGAATATGAAACTACATGGTATAAGAAAATCTCTTCAATTAGCTAAAATTTACTTGCTAAAGATTACTTACTGCACAATATGTCAGTTTCCCGTAAGAATAAAACAGATACTATTATTCTCTACTTCTAAATTCAGTACATAGTTAAAACCATTTTCTTAAACTAAACTTCTACGGTATTATAAGCAAACTCTATGTTATTGAGTTAGGATAGGGAAACTTAATAACTTATAAAACAAATTTCTTAAGAGTTCATGAAACCACTTCATAAATCCTAGAAGGCACACATATTTCCTATCATAGTAAGTGCATTTAAGTACTTCAAATTTAAAAAAGACAAGCTGTACAGAATACAAAAAGTATACATTTCAGCCATTAAACAAATTTACAACTTTTACGGTTAGTTATTACAGTAGAGCCTACCTAACATTCACATCCAAAGAATTACCACCCAGTTTAATGGAGTGAGCAAAAAACTATGCTCATTTACTTGATAAGGCTAATAAAAACATATTTCACAGTAGATCAGTTAGTGTCTTGGAGCTCATACTGGAAAATAGAAAGGTCTGGGCAATATCAAGTCACCAGGCTCACCGTTAAAGAATTGAAGGGTGAAGGATTCTGGGGGATAAAACCATTGGCTATATCCGGAAAGAACCAAAAATCTATAAAGCAACTTTGTTTTCAGAAACATTCTTAAATTAGGCAATCTGAATTAGACTCAGCAAGTCTAATCCAAAAAGATAGTTTAAAATCTTAGAGCTGGAAAAGATCTCAGAGGATCATCTCAAGGTTTTCAAAATAAATTCCACAGAGTACTAAGAATCCAAGGAGGAGATTTAGAGTTATGCAAATTTGACATGAATTTAATTTTTTTAAAAAACTTAAAAAACAAGTCCTATCATACAACTGTGTTACTCACCAAATTCCAATAAACTGGGTACCACCACTACATTAATACATATTTTCATTGGTTGACTTTATAATATTTAGTTATGGTATTTAAAATTTGTATAAGGGAATTTATATCAATAAAATGACTTTTATATAGTGGGGTAGTGTGTGTGTGTGCGCACGTGCGCCCACGCAGCACGTGTGTGTGCGTGTAGGGGTTCTGAGTAAGATTTTTACTTGGGGGGCAAAAAGGTTCTACTGTTAAAAGGAAGTGTGAAAATAAAGTAGGAATCTATAAACCAGAGGAAGGGACTTTCTCAAGGTCACACAACCATCAAGTGCATTACCAGGTTGACAGGGTAGCATCCCCAGTGCTCTACTTCGTAAACATCCATAGCAAGTGTTTAGCTACTTGGTACTGAGCTGCTCCCATCATGAATGTCAACCAGTATCAGTATTTTGGGGGTAAAATCAAGCTACCTTTGGTCAGACATTTTTCCTAGAAATGAATTACTTAATTTGCATGCCTATTAAAATCCTAGTACTTGAAAATTCTGCTGTCAATAAGCAGCAACTTAAATTGTGTACTTTGGTACTTCAGAAAATAGTAATATTTGCAATTTACCAATAAATCAGAAAAGTTACATGGAATGTGAACATACTTTTTAAAGAAGGCATCAGGCCCTAATTTATTGTATGCTGAAATGTTCATATGTAGCATAAAACAAAAATTTTACTTTAGGAGCAAAATTTTTCAAAAATGGTTCAAGTGCCACTGAACATCATAATTCCATTATGACTGTACTCTTTCAGGGTATTTCAAATAAGGTACACTGAAACAAAGTCAAACTATCACCTAATTTTCAGAGGTGCCTTGTGTATAAATATGATTAAAAAGCTACACCCTATTTTCTTCTCTCTTAATCTAAGAAATTTGAAGACTTGGGAACCTCAGAAAGATGCCTTCAAGTTAAAAAAATAAAAGCACCATAAACCAATATTGAATGATTTTTCATAATTTAGAAATATAAAACTTAGGATCTGTGATGAAGAAAAACTTCCATCTGAAACTCCAAGATGCATAAGTATTATCAAAAGCTATTTAGAAGTTTCCCAGCTTGGGAAAGCATTTCCAGAATAGCCAAGAAGACTCCCCAGAAGAAATCCATTTACAAGGCAAAGCCATGCCCAAATTTACAGTCCTCACCCAAATTATAAAGCATGAGGGAAAAAAAGACTTTTAGGTAAAAAAAACAACAACAACAAAAAACCCATGTAGTTCCAAAACACACCACTAAAGTTAGGAAATAACTGGATCATTTCAAGTAAAAATTATTAAAGGAGCAATAGTTAACCACAAGGGGGCATACATACTCCTTAGATTCCAGCAGAAAGACTAATTTAAGTAGTAACATGCACTTTGATATATTCTACATTTTCAGTCATTTAAGATTTTCTCTCATATGGCTACAACTTTTTAACTTTCAAGGTTTATTTTAGACCTAACTGAATAGATTCCAGATTACTCTTGCCCTGAAAAGTAGTTGTTGTTTCAGAAGCCCCTGGAAATGCTGCTGTAACCCCAGCAAAGGATTCAAGAGCAATTAGTCCTAATATTCATTAGAACAGGTAAATAATAGGAAAATCTGACCTAAAACAGTAGCAAATTTTAGTTTACCATAAATGGAAGACATGGAAAGTTTGTCAAAAGAAATGGGATAAATTGTCAGAATAGCAAAAATAAGAGGGTGGGAAAAACTGATTTCTCAGTGTCTGCACCACAACAACCTTGCATCCTTCCCCCATGACCGGAGTGTTTGTAGCCCCTAATAGAAACACTTCACCTCAAAGTCATGGCCTGTGGGGCTGGCCTGCCTCATCAGCCATGTTAAGGATATAGTTAGCCATGTCATCTTCCGTGGGTGCATCTGACACCACCCAAGACTCATTTGCTCCAGTCATCTGTAGGCGACAAATAGGGCAATTCCTGTGTCGATCACTCCTATTAGAGAAGTCAAATAAAGAAAAGTTTGTTCTCTTTTCCTTCTTAAAAAAAAGGATTCAAATGTAATACATGTACATTTTTTTAAATAAACAGCATAAAAGTACACAGTGAAAATATCTCTCTCCCTCCTATCCCAATCTTTAATTTTTATCCCCAGAGGCAACCACTGTTACCAGTTTCTTACACATTCTTCTAGAACTAGATTAAGCATGACCAAGCTTGTGTGTAATATATACATCACTGCTCTTTTCACCTGTTAATGTATCTTGTGGGCTATTTTGTATCAGCACTTGTTAGAACTGTCTATTCTTTTTAAACATACACTGTATGGATAGGCTATAATTCATTTAACTAGATTCACACAGAAGGATTTTTAGGTTTTTCCTTAGCTTTTTGCTGCTATAAATAATGGAATGAAAGCATTCAAGGCTTAAAAAAACAAACACACACGAACTTTACATGAAGAATAACTTTGGGAGGAGGAAAAAACTTATTTATGATCACTTTAACAAAATAACATTTTCCAAAAGTTTTTTTGGTCTTGTCAAACATCATTTTAGAAATTTCAAAAATAACTTATTTGATCCAGAACAATGTCATACAGGGAAACTGTTTTTCTCTTCATCTCTCAGTGAAGTCAGAGAGCAAAGTAATTAAATTATATCAATTGCTCTTTGGCTTTTGTGCAGAAATTTAGAAATCTGTTCCAAAAATTAAATAGGAAAGTAGATTTGACATGTATTATTCAGATTCATTTCTGGTTCCTCAGAGATATTTTTCAAGATAACTTCATGGGCTTTTCTGTGCATAAAAATCACAGTTTTAAAACAATCAGCATCGGCTTCTGGCCAACAGGGACCAAATTTATCTTCCCACTTAAAACAACTAAAACACAGGACAAAATACATGAAACAATGGTTTTCAACACTAGACATAAAACGACAAAGGATTTACAACCCCTGAGGGATGAGGAGCAAAAGAAGGTGAGCCCTACAACTGCCCCAGCTTACTGCCTCGAGCGCTTCCAGGCGGCAAAACACGTAGGGGAAACCTAGATGGAGCCTGGCAGACTCCCTGACTTGACGAGACAGAGCTGAGAATCTCGGGAAGCCAAGGCAGCTAGGGCAGAGTACTGGAGAGGAGAAAGCTACACACGAGGAGAATCCTGGAGTCTACTGAAGGTCTCCATAAAGTATATTCAGTAGAGTAATGATCAGTGTGTACATGTGAGGAAACAACTTGGGGCTGAGGAACAACCCAAAAGGATCTAAGAGGCCAGTATCCAAAGCTCACATAGGGCCTGGACATTACCTGTTCCCACCAGCCACACTGGAAAACCTTGTAAATCATGGAGCATTGGGTAGAGGATTCTGGGGGCTTGCCTCATTAGGTGGGGCAAATTAGCTGTAAACACTGCTCTGGTCCTGCCTAACAAACCATAAAAGCAAGACTCAAAAGAATCAAACTGTTTCCAAGTAACTATATTCCAGGACAAAGCTCAAGAATGCTTATAAGAATACAAAAATGTCCTGTACCCCAAAAGGTAAAAAACAAAAAACAAACAAACCAAAAAAACAGTATCTGGCACTACAATTAAGAACTACTAAGAAGCAGAAAAATGCAACCCAAAATAAAGAGAAAAAAATCAATCAAAACTAACCCAGAACTGACACAGATAGAATTAACAGCAAGAAAATTAAAGGTTATGATAACTGTATTCCAAGTATTAAAACTAGAGCAAAGACCAAATATATTTAGCAGATACGTGGAAGATATTAAACTCAAATCAAACTTCTAGAGGTGAAGACTAAAATATCTGAAGAAAAAAAATATACTGGATGGGATTAATGGCAAGTCAGACACCGTAGAAAAAAAAGATCAATGAATTTGAAAAGATAAATCAATATTAACTATCCAAAATGAAATACAGAGAAGATGACTCAGAAAAGAACACAGCATCGGTGAGCTGTGGGACAACCCCAAGTGGTCTAATGTGTGTGTACCCGGAGTCCCAGAAGGAGAAGGGAGAAAAGAGAACAGAAAAAAAAAAATTTGAGAAAATACTGGCTGAAAAATTTCCAAAACCGATGATACTATAAACCTGTAACTCCAATGCAAGGAACATGAAGAAAACTACTCTAAGGCACATCATAATCAAATTGCTCAAAGTCAGTGATAAAGGAAAAAACCTCAAAAGCAGCCAGAGAAAAAAAGCACATTACTTACAGAGGAAAAAAGATGAGGATGAGAGCAGATTTCTCATCAGAAATGATGTAAGCAAGAAGAGGGTGGAGCAACATCATTAAAGTACTGAGAGAAAAAATACTATCGGTCTAGAACTCTACATCCAGAAAAAATATCTTTCAAAAATGTTATTCAGACATTCAATCTTATGGAATATGAAGTTTATTGTATGTCAATTATAAATTATCATAAATGGTTGATTCTTATTTTGTAAAATAGTGAGCTTGACTAGCGGTTCTCTAAAGTTCTAAGTCCAATATTCAAAGATTCATATTATTCCTTCTAATCATATATAGAGGAAAAATGTAGGAATGAGGAGATAAATGGAAGAAAAAGGGAAATATCTGATTCTAAACTCAAGTCAGGCACAAAGCTCCTTACAGCAAAAGTTAACTGTCAAAACTAGGATACATCCCCACATTTTATAAACTTTAGATATAAAAATAAAAATATTTTAACCAGTAGGAGGCATGTCATAAAATTCAAAGTACTAAAGAACAAAATCTCTTATACTTAACTTTGATGGTTTTGTATTTTTTGAAGTTTCCAATACACTCTTGCACTTGACCTTTGCCTACCCCACGAAGGCAGTAGATTACTTACCATTTGTCAATGCACTTCTGACAAAAGCTGTGAGCACAAGGCAGGATGAGGTCAGCTCGACCATCCATACAGATACAGCACTCCTCCTCGTCAGTCAGCTGCTTTATCCTGCAATGTGAAAACTGAGCTGGAGCAATGATGTTCTCTGCTGTCACTGTGCTGTACACTTTGTTTCCATTGCCTTCAAACATCTGTGTGCCTTCAACATAGAGCACAATATGACTCATGCAAAATCAGAGTGAGTTAACTTATCTTTTAGGGATAGCAAATATACTAGGGAAGACATACTGGAGGGGCAAGGGAACCCCCACTGGAAATAATGCTTTTAACTGGGACAGCAGGATGAGGGACAGTCTAGATGGAGGAACACCAATCAGATCCTTATTTCAGCAATTCACCTGGGAGATAATTAGGGCCTGGTCGGATGGGCATTACAAAAGACAAATCAGGATGTGGTAACAAGATTAAATGCTATGCTTTAGCAATGCATGAAAGTGGGCAACTTCTGAATTGAAATGGGGAAACTGAATGAAGACCTAGATGGATGTGGGTCTAATGTATTTGATTTTTTCTGTTATCTATTCAGCTCAATGTTTAAGTGTCTTTTAGATGCTATAAACTGTGCCAGACCGAGAAGAACTGGGGTCTCTGCTCTTGAGGAGCTTACAATTTATGTCTAAGGGTGTGGACTTGGGTGTCAGTAGCAGAGAATATAACTGTATCCATAAAGAGAGACAGAGCTCTAAAGGTCAGAGTTTAAAAGCGAGTAGCAGAGGGCTATGAGTGTTCTGGATGGAGGTAAGAGAAAGAAGAGGACACACAGAAGCAGCAGTCGAACCTGTACCACGTTCACTTGATTCTTTTGCTACCTCCCTAGAAGTACAGTGACCAGAAGAAGGAAGGAGAAAGAGTCTTGCTGTCTGTCCTTGTTAGACCACTTGTAGAGCAGAGAATCCAGTTCTCTGCCCCTACCCCCAAAAGACAAATGGACAGATAAAAGATCACACAGGAAAGCCTCTGGGATGTAGAAGAGACCACATAAACAAAGGCCAAAGGAAATGGGGAGGCTTATCCTGGAGAACAGATGCTCAGTAAGAACTTGATTACTGTTTTGAAATATTAGAAGGACTGGGAGAGAGAACACACTTGGTAGAATTCCAGAGGACACTGCCACTGAAATAAGTAGAATATGGTAATATTTAATAATTATGATAGTTAACTCTTACAGCCATAGTATTATGGGCCAGGCATTCTCCTAAGCATTTTATGTATATTAACTCACTTAACTCTCTCAAGAGTCCTATCAAGTAGATGTTACTCTTTCAAAAGATGAGGAAAGAGGGGTTTAATAACTTGCCCAAAGTGACACCATTAGGAGTAGAGCCAGGAGTTGACCACAGGCAATTTGGTTCTGGAATCTGTGCTGTGCTGCCTTAGGAGAGTCAGATTTTGGCTCTGAGGAACACAACGCAAAAGAGAAAACTGCGCAGTGATTAAAGCCATTTGTGTATTAAAAGGCTTACCTTTCTGAGGCAGTGAGTCCCATACAGTGCGGGTATTCAAGTTGGACTACCACTCGGCTAAGTGTAGTAAGTGGTGTCTCACTACTCAAAGTGCTATCTGTGGAGAAGCAGCAGTGAAACACCTGGGAGCCTGACAGAACCTCAGGCTCCTCCTCAAAACCACTGAATATCAAAGTTTAAGAAGCACTGCAGTACAGGATCTTCATGCACCAGAGAGAACTAACGCAGAGGTTAGGAGCACGGCTGTATTGTCAGACAGGCC